GGGTATCAGAGCCACGTTCATTCCTAATAGTATTTGTAAACTTCAATAACAAAAGTTATAATGTATAATGATAATATTTTAATTCCTCTCAATCCAAAGAAGTCGATGGACATACATTTGGATGAGACTATGATGATTCATCAATTTTTGACAAAGAAGTTGAAGAATTTTTGGATTTCCTCCAATCTTTGATGAAGAAATGAAAAATCTGTGAATTTGGGTAATGACTGTTACGACAGATCCCCAATCTTTGATGAATAAATTGAAGAATGTATGAATTTTTGTGGTAAAAGTTAATACGTGACACCTACTTTCTATGAAAAGCTTGATGCTAATGTCTCTGATGGTTCAAATAAATCATGGTTGATTTTAAGTGCCACACAAGAGAGTTCGTAGACTTTGATGTGCTTGCTATAGTTCGAACATCATTTGAAGATTTTTCTTTTATGTGCCCTGCAAATTTACCAAGTAAATTACCATTATTACAAGACTTCGGATGATAACACGATACAAGATTCGAGGATGCATATTCGTCAATTCGAATCTTGTATCGTGTTATTGTTTTTAAGAAATTGACATTTTCCATGTATCTATTTATTGTTTTTCTATCTCAAGGTTCTAGAAAACAAGAAAAGTGAAGAAATACAGTTGGTTTGGTACCTATTCCCCCTTTACCAGAGAGCCATTTAATTCCGTCTCAAATTCCTTTCAAGTTTTTTTTTTCCCTATTTTTTAAAAAATATAACATGAGCCCAACAGTTAACTGCCAAGTTCGAACTCCACAGCCCTAACCAGCCAGCAACTGAAGGCAGGTTAGCCCGTGGATTGTCTCGGTCCGGTCTTGAGCTGGTTATCTGATGGATAGAGCGGGTTTGAACTGGCTAGCTCAAAGGAAAAGAATTCTAGATTGTTGGTATCAAAATAACATACATTATAATTGTAGAAAAGAAAATTAATTCGTGGATGAAATAAAATATGTAGTTCCGAACCCCTTGTAGAGCCGCTTTTGTTTCTGTAACCATTCATTTTCTTTGGAAGTGTTGGAATATATTATTCGGTACCGTCTAGTAATGAGAACCGAATTGTTCAAGAACATTGCACAATATCATGATTCTTCATACAAACTTGCCATAGCTGATCTGCTGCTTCATTCATGGCTTCTTCTTCCTCATTTTTCATTTTCTGGCTCAATTCCAGAGCTCTATCCCTTAAACCTTCCCCATTACTGTTCTCCAAAATCGCGGTCTTTATAGCCTTTGCAACCTCTTCTGCCCTAAAAAGTCCCTCGTCATCCCTCAGGACTTCCACGGCCGCACCACCCTCGACCACCATTCTAGTATTTATAGGCTGATCAAATTTCGAAGGCATGGCTATAATAGGAACCGCAAAAGAAATACTTTCCATTACAGAACTCCACCCACAATGACTCATGAAACCACCAATACTTGAATGTGCCAAGATTTCTGCCTGTGGTGCCCAACCCTGCAAAATTTTGCCTCTCTCTTTCACTCTTTCAAGAAATCCCTCCGGCAGTGATTCCTCGATTCCTATGGCATTTTCAGCAGGAAATCTAACAACCCATATGAAGTTTACATTGGTTAACTCTAATCCTTCTGCTATTTCTTCCATCTGTTCCTTGGACAAGTAATTTTCACTGCCAAAGGAAATATACACAGTAGAAAACTGATCTTTTGTACTTAGCCATTTCTTGATTTCTAAATTTTCCTCATTTTTAGCATGTGTAATAAGAGGGCCAACAGGAACCACTTTCCGCTGGCACAAGATTGAAAGATAATCAACATATTTTTCCTCTATTCCTTTACAAGTCTTGATCAAAACAATGTCATGAGATAGTTTTAAGGTTCCAAAAGCGAAACCTTCAGTTGCATCATTAACTTTTATTGATCCACCTTGAGTTTTGATATCCCTTTGTTCGTAATCCCGCTGATATATTGCAGGAAAAGGGAAGTTAGCATTCCTATATGTATAACCATGATGGAAAAATGACATTGTTGTTGCTCCAGAAATAGAAAAGTGAACAGCAGGAATACCTGTTGACAAAATATGATTTAAATAAATGAGTTTTGTATCATCATTTATTTTAAAATTTCGGATGAAATGGTTCAATATGGAATTGAAGCAACCGTCTTAAGTCTAAAACCGTGCATTTGTTTATTTAAATAAATCTGTCCTCTCTCAAGTCTCATAACCCTATATTTCTTAAAATTGCGCACATGTCAACTGCAAGCCCTCCTAATGAGAAGATGATTAAGAAATTCACAAAGTGACATGTTGAATATCTAAATAAGTTATAATCTTAATCTTTTAGATTCGTTTAACAAAGTATCAGAGCAGACAAAAGTGTTAAGTTCAAATCTTGGAGCACTATATTTCTTAAAACCAAATGGGTCAAGCCTCTAATGAGTAAATGATTTTGAAAATACACGAGGGACATCTCGAAGATATGATTTAAATAAAATAAATAAGTTTATCCCATCTCTTTCTCACTAACATCTTAAGTTCTTAGATGATTATGGTCAACAATGATTTCTTTAAATAATACCTTGTGATGAAGCGAGTTTGGGAGCCCAGGGCTGAAAGGCATCATATATCAACAAATCAGGCTTGAGGATGCTGATGATGCTGGAGAAGCTAGAACTTGACATCTGAAAAGCCTGCATAAGGGTTGGCATAAGATTTGGTGGCACATTTTTGGTTGTGTGATATTGTGGAGGAAGTTCAGGCAGTGATGGTAAATGAAGTTCTACAAATTCTATTGAGAAATCTGATAGATTTTTGTCCATACTGTTCTTGATTGAATCAATATTGATGGGTGTAGAACAAAAGTATATTTGGAAGTTTTTCTTCGAGAGTAATTTCTTGGATAGTTCAAGAAAGGGATAAACATGTCCATGAGCTAACCATGGGAACATAAGAATTTTGAAACTTGTTTGTTGTTTCTCCATGCATGAAACCTTTCTTTCTTGCTCTATAATTTCAGTGATGGAGGCTGAAAGTGGAGACTTTGATATAAAATGGCTTAGGAGTGAAGACAATCAAATTCATTATTTTAATTTATGACTGGGTTAAACCCATTTACCGGGGCACGTAGGCCCAGGTAATGCCAGGGGGCCCCCTGTGATAGGTTGGGAGAGATTACCTGTGATAGTTGGTAATCCCCCCCACCAATCATAAGAATCTTGGCATTACCAGGGCCTTCCAGTATAATCCTTCATTATTTATTAAAGTTTTGAATTGGAAGCTGGCCAATTTAATAGTATTTTAGTCCTTGGAAGAGTTGGTAAAACATTGTGAGACCATTTCCCTGAACAAATGGCTCATTCCATTGAATTTTGCTTGGTGTAGGCTGTAATTCACGGGGGGCAGTTCCACCTATCACGGGGGCATGGCCATACGTTTGGCTTAATTCGGTGTAGATTACATTGTTTGTTAAAGAATAATGTATGTATGCTTCTAGATCCCAATTTATGAATTTTTAAATAAAAAGATTTATTTAACTCTTTTTTCAAGTCGAAAAATTACTATGTTTTGTTTAATGTTGTATTTTACTCTTGTGCTTTTGGTTTGTACAGACTTAGCCTAAAAATAGAAAAAAATATATATTTTGTCGTGGTGACATTGTGACTTTTCTTTGATTTTGTTGGTATTTAAATTTATAATTTAATATATGTAAATTTTTTTATCGCCAATAAAGTATAAAAACATAGTGACAATAAAGTGAACAAGAAGAAAAAATATACGTTCAAATTACGATTTAAAATTGAACGAAACCGTTGGGTTTAGATTCGAGAAAATCTCACACCATTTAAATGGTTTAGTTTAGATTTGAGTTTTCTCAAGTCGATTTAAATGGTTTAATTTAAAATTCTATTAAAAATCGATCAAATCGGATCGCTCTTCATATATATCGCTTTCAACAAACTCCTTCATTTATAGGCAAGATTCGTTTTTCTAGTTAAAGTCTTACATTGTATAGCTATACATTTGGAAGATGCTTGGGATGGCCGAACAAAAACTAGAAGGTTTGAGACCCCATTGCACCTTTTTGGAAGGTTTGAAACCCCATTTGCAATTCTCCCTATCGTCTATTTATTTATCATTTTGTTTTCCAAATTTAATATAATGTAGTTCTGATAGGTGCATTGCATGACAAGACGTGAAAGTCAAGTTTCAAACATTAAGAGTTTAGGTGTGCTCATGTGAAGCATTGGTGTAATGATGCATAGTCCAATTTTTAATATTATTTTAATTATTCTCTGTCAATAAAGAGGTAAATAAATAACTTATCCCTTGAAAATTTTTAAAACTTGATAATATTTTCAAGTTTCCACAAAAAACATAATTCTCAAAATCATAAATACTATAATTACTTAGTAATTAATTATTGCAGTTAGGTTAAATATGAATATAGGGTAAACAGATTGGCCGAAAATTGGTCACTGGATTGGGCACAAACAGATTCGGCAGCCAATTTCAAACTGGGTAGCTTCAGTTTTCTACTGTTTTCAGTTTTTCTGCTTGGTTTTGGATCTGTTTTTGGTTGATCTGGTTTTGGATCTGCTAATCTGCTTTTTTTTTTCTGTTTTCTACCGAAAATCCACCACCTAAGAGCTCTAATACCAATTGTTGTGAAAGCTCATTCCAAAATCTTCGAATCGCTGATTTTCGAGCTTAGTTTCACGTTACTTTTCTCTACCAAACAACCAATCCAAATGGTTCCGACCTACAACCAATTTATTCACCTCAGTTGCTTCTCATTCTCATACACAAAGGACAGGATATTGGTGTTGATTTGCACCCACAAAGATAAGAAGAAAGCAATGAAAAACAATGTACGATAAGGAAGAACAAAACAAAGGTAGCCACCGGTTTTTCCAAAGCACAAAGCACGACCGTTCATTTGTTTCTTTAACCATTCAGTTTCTTTGGAGTGTTAGAATATATTATTCGGTACCGTCCAGTAATGAGAACTGAATTGTTCAAGAACATTGCACAATATTATGATTCTTAATACAAACTTGCCATAGCTGATCTGCTGCTTCATTTATGGCTTCTTCTTCCTCATTTTTCATTTTCTGGCTCAATTCCCTAGCTTTATCCCTTAAACCTTCCCCACTACTCTTCTCCAAAATCGCCGTCTTTATAGCCTTTGCCACCTCTTCTGCCCTAAAAAGTCCTTCGTCATCCCTCAGGACTTCCACGGCCGCACCACCCTCGACCACCATTCTGGTATTTATAGGCTGATCAAGTTTCAACGGCATGGCTATAATAGGAACCGCAAAATAAATACTTTCCATTACAGAACTCCACCCACAATGGCTCATGAAACCACCAATACTTGAATGCGCCAAGATTTCTGTCTGTGGTGCCCATCCCTGCAGAATTTTCCCTCTCTCTTTCACTCTTTCAATAAATCCCTCCGGCAGTGATTCGTCGATTCCTACGGCATTTTCAGCAGGAAATTTAAGAACCCATATGAAGTTTACATTGGTTAACTCTAACCCTTCTGCTATTTCTTCTATCTGTTCCTTGGACAAGTAATTTTCACTGCCAAAGGAAATATACACAGTAGAAAACTGATCTTTTGTACTAAGCCATTTCTTGATTTCTAAATTTTCCTCATTTTTAGCATGTGTAATAAGAGGGCCAACAGGAACCACTTTCCGCTGGCACAAGATTGAAAGATAATCAACATATTTTTCCTCTATTCCTTTACAAGTCTTGATCAAAACAATGTCATGAGATAGTTTTAAGGTTCCAAAAGCGAAACCTTCAGTTGCATCATTAACTTTTATTGATCCACCTTGAGTTTTGATATCCCTTTGTTCGTAATCCCGCTGATATATTGCAGGAAAAGGGAAGTTAGCATTCCTATATGTATAACTATGATGGAAAAATGACATTGTCGTTGCTCCACAAGTAGCAAAGTGAACAGCAGGAATACCTGTTGAAAACATATCATTTAGATAAATGAGTTTTGTACCATCATTTATTTTAAAATTTCGCAAAATTGAAGCAACTGTATTTGCTTATTTTAAAACCGTGCATTTGCTTATTTTAAATAAATCTGTCCTCTCTCAAGTCTCATAACTCTATATTTCTTAAAATTGCGCACATGTCAACCGCAAGCCCTCCTAATGAGAAAATAAATAAGAAATTCACAAGTGACATGTTGAATATCTAAATAAGTTATAATCTTAATCTTTTAGATTCGTTTAACAAAGTATCAGAGCAGACAAAAGTGTTAAGTTCAAATCTTGGAGCAGTATATTTCTTAAAACCATGAATGGGTCAAGCCTTTAATGAGAAAATGATTTTGAAAATACAAGAGGGACATCTCGAAGACATGATTTGAATAAATAAATAAGTTTATCTTTCTCACTAACATCATAAGAGGATTATGGTCAACAATGCTTTCTTTAATAATACCGTGTGATGAAGCAAGTTTGGGAGCCCAGGGCTGCAAGGCATCATATATCAGCAAATCGGGCTTGAGGTTGGTGATGATGCTGGAGAAGCTAGAACTTGACATCTGAAAAGCCTGCATAAGGGTTAGCTTAAGATTTGGTGGCACATTTTTGGTTGTATGATATTGTGGAGGAAGTTCAGGCAGTGAAGGTAAATGAAGTTCTACAAATTCTATTGAAAAATCTGATAAATTTTTGTGCGAACTGTTCTTGATTGAATCAATATTGATGGGAGTAGAGCAAAAGTATATTTGGAAGTTTTTCTTTGAGATTAATTTCTTGGATAATTCAAGAAAGGGATAAACATGTCCATGGGCTAACCAAGGGAACATAAGAATTTTGAAACTTGTTTGTTGTTTCTCCATGAATGAAACCCTTCTTTATTGCTCTATAATTTCAGTCATGGAGGCTGAAAGGGGAGACTTTGATAGAAAATGGCTTAGGAGTGACCACAATCAAATTCATTATTTAAGTTCAGAATTGGAAGCTGGCCATTTATTAGCATTTTTGTCCTTGGACAGTTGAGACTACAGTGCATTGGATTTAGGCCCTGTAATTCACAGGGGGGCGTTTGGCTTTACATCGTTTGTCAAAGAATAATTCGTAGGATTAAGCCAAATGTACAGATGCTCGGTTCATAGACCTCTTACCGACTCTCACATGAGGTGGATATGGACCCACCTGATTAAAAATTGGTTCACATTTTTTCCCACCCCACCTGATTAAAAATTGGTTCATATTTTTTCCCGCCCCACCTTTTTGTGTGATCCGTGGGACTTAAAGCCCCACTTCTACAAGTGTAGTTTCATCCTAATTCATATATGCTTCTAGACCCTAATTTATGATTTTTTAAATAAAAAGATTTATTTAACTCTTTTTTAAAGTCGAAAAATTGCTAAAATTTGAAACCTTGATCATTCGCACCTCAAAAATCAAATCCCGTCTAGAGACCTTTTCATTTTTATAATGGATCATGTTTTTTGGCAGGGGCGGACGCGGACAATTAAAGTTAGGGGGGCACAATCGAACTTGCAAAAAAATTGGGAGAAATTTTACAATCGAAAATTTACGTCCAAAAAAATCATACCCCATGTAATTTTGCATCCGAAAATTTACATGGGATATGACTTTTTCAAATATAAAATTTCAAAATTTTTTTTATGTAATTCCATATAAAATTTCCTAANGTTAGACGCCTCTTTTTAAGACGTATGTTTAACACATTTTTAACTATTTTCGATATCTGTTTGAAGTATTCGATATGTCTATAATGTAGTTCTCGAAACGAGTTTTGAGATGATATAAGCGATTTGTAGATTCGGTTACCGTACGATCGTCGGAGGATTTTTAAATTTAGCACGTTATCGAAATTCTCGAAATACTAATTTTAAACCGCCTACTTTGACAAGTCGTAACATTTGCTACGATTTGTAGTTTCGCACGCCGTTAACTACATAAAAAATTAGACTGTGAGCACTTCGAAATAGTATTAAAAATGCAATATTTCGATTTCATTTCATATCTTATAATCATTTCGAAAATTGAAACAAAACATAGAAAATAAATTTTAAAAAAAAAAGGCAAAGTTGGGGGGGGAGGGGGGTCACGTGTCCCCTAGGCACACCACTGCGTTCGCCAGTGTTTTTTGGTGTCCATGGCCTAAAGTATCCAAGCATCCTAGCTTGTGAAAAGTCCAATAAAAAATAGACCATGTCGTGCCCAGCTATAGGGGCATGCCACCCAAGATAAAGAGCCTTGAGCTCTCTGCAAGTCAGCCTGAATGTAGGCGACATGGGCAGCCAGCCTAAGGCCTTGGATAGCTGTTGGCCCCATAATATAATACTTTAAATTTTTATATATTCGGACGAACTCGAACGTATTTGTGAACCCTATTTCGTGAACCCGAAGTCTTAGTAGTAGTTTGTTTTTATCGCATGTAGAAATATTAACAAAATATTCTAATGATAGCTCCATTTCTCTCGTCCATGGATGGAACTTGTAGCAAATTCATTGAAGATATATAGAACTTGGCACAATTGAGGCGGGGAAGTGGCCAGACTTATTACCCGTTTGGGCAGTGCTATTTTCTTCAACCATTTTATATGCTAAGCACTCTTTCAAGTAAAACCCATTTCAGAACCTGCTCATATCTTTGAGGAATATAACATGACATGAAATCAGCATTTTACGCAACCTAATTTACAGATTCAACACCTACAAATTCCAAAAAAGGATGACGAAGAACTTTCCAATGGGATAAATGAGCATTCAAATTCCAAAATAGCATCCTCATCGAGCATTCATTACAGTCTCAAATAAAAACAACTTCAGGCACAATCGTAACATCCCATCCTAATTCCAAAATAGCATCTTTTTTTTATCGTTGAACTGCATACCAACCTCAGGCACAATCGTAACATCCCTTCCTAATTTATCGTCTTCCAACAGTATTACATTATCCATCAAGTTCTCAGCGTCGGAATCTACAAATACTTTGTCATCCAATACTTCCACTATTTCAAATTACACATGTAATTGTACATTTCAAATTACATCTTCAATGAAGTTTGGATTTTACCTTTCTCAGTCATCTGTTCAATGGATATGATTGAAACTGTATTATTATACTGAAGCTTTGCCTTTGAAGCTCTATTCAAACTGAAATGGGGGTCAAGATAGCAGAAAAATTAGAGGCATACTGAATTGTAGATACACATTTGAATTTATCAAGACGAAAGAATAAAAAGTGAGGCATATAAAATAAGAAGTTGAATGCCTTTAAATAAAGAAATGCCCAAAAACGACGAAGAGGGTGGAATGCCATGAAATTACCGCAGCTGGACGAGACGGGTAATACAATGTACTGGGCGGAGAGATGTTTACCGGGTTGTAAAATCACAGTAGCAAGGATGGAATAATTTCAGTCTTTATCTATTCAACCAAAAATCTTTACATAACCTTAATCACCTTAAAGCTCACATCAGCAGGCAGTCGGTGGTCTTCAAAAATGGGTGGCTTCGTCGGAGTGTGGAGATTTGGGGAGAGTGGCGATTTGGGGGTAGAGTTGGGGGAGAGGTGGGATAGGTTAGATTTGGAACAGTTTCCACGTTTAGACATTGAGCCGGGTATTTTGGTACCATTTTTGAAGAAATCAAATTTTTATTCATTTCACACCTCCACGTCAGCAATTTCAAAAAGCTGTGAAATAGGGATGTACACCAAGCCTTTTATATATATATATATATATACACACACACTAGGTGTAAGCAAACGTGCATTTGCACGTTTGCTTAGTTTATATTTAATAG